CAAAGGCAGTCTTATGTTTTTCTCGATGGACATCATTTTAGCAAAAACGGCAACAGCCCCAGAACAAATTTCTACCCCCAAAACATTCAAAACAACGATTCCAAAGTCAGAGGAGCTTCAAATCCTTTTTCCCTGAGGGGCAAGAAGGGCTTCACAAGGCAACACAATCCCTGCTGCTGCATTTTCCGACATTTTCTCATGGCCATTTGGCCTTTGTGGCTTTAGCGGACTTTTCTTTGGTCTCTGGAGCCAGCAAGGTTAGGTAAGAGGCTACAGTAAGAATGCAGTGAGAGGAGAGATGAGAACACACTCCCTATGTCTTTGTTGTACAAAGCGTGGCTGGTTAAAAGGAAATTATGATTTGATTTTTTTTTTTATTTCATTGTTAATAACTTTCACTGTTAGATGACTCACAGAGGTGGTGGGATTCACTCAAAAGTTGAAGAAGCATTTCTTTAGAACCAATCGAGCTCTGCGTCTCCTTCCCTGGAAAGATGAGAATTTAAAGCCTGAAGGCTCACAGGGGACTCCAGGCATATTCCTTGCATTAGATTGTGTGCTGCTAAGAGTTTAAGTGTTGACTTCGTTTGTCTGAGCGGAACAGGCTGTGTAAGTCAGCGTTGCCTCCCAGCAAGGAAACCTCAAATCTCAGCAGTACCATCACGAAGGTTTATTTTGCTTCCAAATCACATACAGGCTGCAGGTGGGCTGTGTCTCTGCTGCATTTATTTTCTCCTTCTGGATTCCAGGCCTGAAGAAGCCCCTATGGACGTGTCCAGTGTCATGGTGGAGGGAGGAATAAGAGAACTGGTGAAACCTCGTGATGTCCTTGAAGACTTCTGCTTGGATGTGGAATGTTCACATCCGTTCACATTCAGTTGCTTAACAAATCATAACAAGTCTGACATTGTGCAGGGAAGTACGCTTGGTCGATAGGGAGGCCCTGCAATTCCAGGTGGGGACGCAAACATCCGCTAAGGGAAAGGAGACATCAATAACTGTGAATGTAGTAGGCCTTCTGTATCCGTGGTGAGGAACCCACAGACAGGAAGAGCTGGCTCAAGGGACTTTATCATCGGCACATCTTGGTATCTGTGGGAGGGAGGTGGTATCCTGTGGATACCAAGGGACAAGTGTATAATACAGTCTGCCACAGTCTTCCCTCTTGGTCATAAATTGTCACCTTATATATCACTTTGTGTATTTATATACAAAATAAATTTATTTCTGACTCATGGAAGATACCTACAAATTCTCATGGAATCAGGTGTGAATTTGAGGAGCTGATGAGATTCTATCAGCAGGTCTGGATTTAGTTGCTGTTGATCTGGAGAGCTGTGAAGGAAAACAAGCGACCTGGCCCACCTGTTCAATGTGGAAGAACAGGAATAGGCCCACCCCAGTGAGCACCTGCATTTGGAAAGGGAAAGAAGGGTAGCCACATGGCCATCCTGAAATTCCGCTGGACTCCGTGAGAATGCCGCCTGCCGTGGGATAGGGAATGCTCCTTGAATGGGTCCTGTTTCTGCTCCCCGGAGGAAGCTCTCTAATCCATCGTTCTCTTTGGCTCCTGACTTCTCCCTCTGGGAGATTTTTCCTTTTTGATCATCCTCTTTGGACATACCTGAAAAAGCATTAGAGAATATACCTTCAGCAGGGACTTGGCAGCTTTCTCAGGCCACGTTCTGCCTGTAGAAACTTGGGGCACCGAAAGTTGTGGTAGGTCTCCTGCTGTCACAGTCTCTTTTAGACCAGGCTGGTGTCTCTTTTGGGCTCATCATTCACGATAAACAGTTACCAATTTTTATTTCCATTTGATTTTAGTTACTCCCTGGGCCAATAGCCACACCCACATTTCTTCTGAGATAATTCTTTCCTAGATATAACTCCTTCTCTGGATTTAATTACAGGCCACTTTGAGCTTATCAGGTTTCTGTGAGACCATGCCACTAATCAGTTTTCCTGTAGCAATTTTGCTCAACTAAAAGGATTTACTAGGGTAGGGCAGGGCAAGGTAGAGGTGCCTTAATTCATTTAGAGATGTTAACATTTAGAGACTTAGTTTTGTCTGTGTCCTGAGGCTAGGTCTTAATCACCTTTCCTTCAAATTTTTTTTTTTTTTTTTTTTTTTAAGACAGAGTCTCACTCTGTCAACCATGCTGGAGTGCTGTGGCACCATCTCAGCTCACTGAAGCCTTGACAGCCCCGGTTCAAGTGATCCTCCCCCCTCAGCTTCCCCAGTGGCTGGGATTACAGGCACGTACCACTGTGCCTGGCTAATTTTTAAAAATTTGTTGTAGAGACCAGGTTTCGCCATATTGCTCAGGCTGGTCTCAAGCTCCTGCCTGCCTCAGCCTTTCAAAGTGCTGGGATTATAGGCGTGATCCACTGCATCCAACCCATTTTTTTCTTTATTGATAGGAGATGAGAAATCGTTGTATCTTACAATTGTTAAGTCCCAAATTTCCTAGATTTTCTTTTTTTCCCACCTCCATCCTGTTGGAAAACCAGCTAACTCTTCTGAGCTCATCTCTTTATTTTAGTACTGTGTCAAATGCACCTAACAGCAACCAAATCACACTAGTAATGTTCTGTTTTGTGACCGTGTCACCTAAAGCTACATGTTCATTCACTGCAACACCTGCCTTTGATCACAGGGGCAGTTTCACTAAATGTGCTACCGCTGTATAACAGGGGTGATTATTTCTCTGTCCTGTTGCGACAGTTTCCGTACCTTTCACTGCCCAGCTCCAAAGCTTATGCCGCACATTTTATGTGTTATGGCATATCCCACTTCTGGTACTAATTTTTCGTATTACCAGCTTTGGTGGAGCCGCATGCCCGCATCTCAGTGGCTCTTTGTATCTGCAGGCTGCAGGCGGTGGTTCTGTTTCGTATGTATTGTAATTCTGAGACTCAGCGCCAGCCCACATTGGCTGTACCTGTTTATGATACTCCTTAAAACTCCTGCTTGGATGTAGTGAGCTTCACATCCGCTTTGCCCCATTGGCTCACACAACTCATATGTCCAACCCTGACCGTGGGGCAGGGTGGTCCATAGCCCCATACAGTGCCTGACACTGTTCAGGGATGTATAATTCTTAATAGCAAAGGGGAGGATTGAGTAATTGTAGACAGCTATTACAGTCTACCGCTTGTTCATTGATAGATAGAAAATGACAGGAAAGAGCTGGTTGATGAGATAAAATCATACGCAAATCATCATACAAAGCAAAATTGGGAACAGTGGGATAGAGGGGGTTTAGTCTTTTCTGTTCTTTTTTCTTTCTTTTTTGAGATGGAGTCCACTCCGTCACCTAGACTGGACGGCAGTGGTGCAATCTCAGCTCACTGCAACCTCCACTTCCTGGGTTCAAGCAATTCTCGTGCCTCAGCCTCC